TCTCGTGTTCCCCGAAGATATTGAGATATTTAGATACTCGACGCGGTCAACGTTTGGAACTAGATCTAGAAAGGGGGTTCGAGAAATGATCAGTTGTAAAAATTGAATTCGGAGAACCGAGGAGAGAGGACAATCTTGTGCCTTTAATTGGTATGACAATATTTAAATAAAGTTAATAGAAAACAAAATCTCTGATAAACTAAAAATGATTATTATTACAGAAAATGTGGAGCGTTGCAAATTTTTTTTTTTTGCACGAAAAAGCACAACGGCAAGAATAGATTCGTATTTTGTACCGACAAAAGGCAATCAAGGGGAAATGAATAATAACAATAGCGAGCAGTAGGGTGAGACGAGAGCGAGAAGAATAAATCTGTCATGAATGCACCTCTTGCGCAACGTGGCTTCAGCCTAGCCTGTTCGCCACTATCAGAGATTAATCCGCCCATTAGGGTAACTTTGCAGCATCGAGAGATGACGCTTGCCTTTCGAGGGGTGGGCGGTCTGTATTCAGCGTCCTCGTGCCGTCGTCATAGAGCGTCGATACATCAAGCTTTGCATGCCTGATATGGGAACCCGTGTGCCTCTCTCGCGTCCGAACGCGGGGGCGAACTTGGCGTTTAAATCGCGGAATTACGCTAGAAAGCACCGACAGATTCATGGGAAACTTCGTGTTCGAACGCCGACATGCATTATGCAGGCATACAATTTAAAACTATTGCACACAGTCCTAATATTCGAGACACAGAATTTGCTCAATCTCGTAACGTGCACGCGAGAAAAGAATTAATTTAACAAGTAAATTAATGTTACAATAAATAAGCTAGATGTAGGGCAACGATGTAGTATAAAGATTGAGATATAATAAGGAGAGAAAAATAATAATAAAAACAATAATATAAATGAGATCGTTAAATCTGACATCGAAAAATTTAAATTTCGCAATTATAGGATGCTAATTATTATTTTTTTTTACAGTTTTTTACTTATCGTCAATTTGCATATTAAATAATATGCATATTAAATAATATTTTATTATATTCGTATGTTTCAATTATGAGAACGTTTGGACTTATATTTAACTTCATCAGTGGCGACGAAAGGTTTTCAAACAAATCCAATCCTCGGTAGCTGCAAGAGCGACGAGAACAAATCGCCACTGATCCTAAAGAAACAAACGCTGCATCCTAAATAAATACTCGAGAATGTTGATTCCGTCCGGGATGAATCGATCCACGTTGACGTCGGTGACTTAGCATCAATTCATCCTATGAGTCCAAAGCCGGTTACCGAAAAGAAAGAAGGTGGGGATCGTGACAAACCCGACTTTTATGCACATCGCTGTCAGAGGGGTGCGACCGGCACGTGTCGATCTCTGTGGGATAATTTGGGGGAGAAGGGCGCTAAAATCAAACCTACCACCTAAAGCGGTGGCGTAGTGGAACTTAAAGAATCACTTCTGTAACTCCTTTGACTAAGCTTTAACAAAGTTCTGAGATCATCCAAGTGCAGTAATACGTGCCTTTCAAGAATATGGTCAAAACTTTATCATTCTGAATCACAAGATCCTTCAAATCAATACTTTATGCATCATCGTAAATATGGTTTACGTTTAACGCTATCAATATCTCTCATCCATCCCGCTCTTATCCGGCTCTACAAATATTATTTGAAATTCCATCCGTGGAAACTATAATATTGGTCTTGGAGGAGAGCGCTGGAGGTTCCCTTTCTGCTCGGAAGAAAATCAGACGGTCGGAAGGTAACCGCGAAGGAAGGTAGTCGTGCGAGTGCACAGCGTCGCGTCAGGTGAGGGTGGAAGGTGCCGGCGGGCAGATACATCTCGTAGGTGCAATGTTTAACAATGCGGCAACAACCACACACGCAAGCGAGCGCGTGCGTTCATCTAGTGCGTTCAACCTAGCACCTCGGTCGCTTGCTTTACGTACGGAGACCGACGATTTATGTACGTTGGAGTCCGCCCACCTCTAGTATCTTCATCTCGACCGAAGGACGTGCCGTGTCTGGAAGAGGGAGGCGAAGGCGGTGAAGGAAGACCGGGAGGAAAGGAACGGGGCGCACACGGCGAAAGAGAGTGGAAGAAGACTGTCCTCTGGTCGGAAAGGACGAAGACAGAAGGCAGAAAAGGCTCGCGCCTTTTCCCCGTCTGTTCCCCTCCTCCCCACCCCCCCCACACCCCTCCCCCGTCTCCCCCGCTGTCACTCGCTGCAACCTTTAATTAATAAACCGACAACGTTTTTCAGCCCCCGGGAATATATGTAGGTATACGTTGATATAGGCGTTACTTCATCGGTAGAAAAGATTAGTTTTCCTCGGAGGAGGATTTTTAAATAT